ACTCCAGGTCTTTCTATCTCCCCATTCTTTCATAAGATTTCCTGCACTCCGCCCAAAGTTTGGGTATGAGTCTCAGCATCTGCTTGGATACCCTGCAGGGTAGAGCCTTTCAGTGGCCCTCTGTGGTAGGCTCCTGTCCTGTTTCCCTGCCCTGCTTGTGTCCAGTATGACTTAAAAAAATCCCTTTTTTATTGTCCCACAGCCTGTGAGCTTCCGTCCTTTTGTACTCTGTGCAATGGTAAAACTGTCATCAGTGATGGTCTCTAGTCTTCCTTCTGATAAAGGACAGTGTCACTCATACACTCATTGTGTTTTTGTGAACTCTAACAAAGTTCATGACACATAGTGCCTTATAAGTGCTGAGTTATTGATCAGAGTAGAAGTTAATAGAACTCAATCCATTTGCGAAATTCTACTAGAGCATCTGTCAGCTTTAGAAAAAAAAATATCATAGCTAGAGGGAAATAAGAAAAAAAAACTCACAGAATTACACACATCTTCGCTTTGAATGTATTTTTGGAGCATTAAGTGAAAGTTTATATATTTTTATGCGATTTAAAAATACTTCAAAACAAGAACTTGAAGCCAGGAATATCCTAGAAAATGAGGGCAGCTTGCCACCGGTACTCTGCTTCAACACGTTACATAGATACACTGTAAGGGAATCCAGGCCTTCATGTATTTCCCATCAGATAAAAATGCATAAAAGGGGGGAAAGTGTGTCAGCCAAAGGTAGGGCTAACCTGCACGGATCTTTTCCTGTAGCGGAGCTGAGCCGAGGAGTGTGAGCTCATGTGTGTGCCTAAGTCGACCTACTCTGTGCCCTATCAATCCTTCCCTTAGGAACAAACGACATTTAAGTGGGGGATTGGCTGATGAGCAGCTGGAATTAATTAAAAAGGCATGCTTGAACATTTTCTCTTAGAAGCTGCCTGATGTCTTTGTTTTAATTTAAAAACAATCAGAGTCAGCTGTGACCATTCCGTATGAATGTTTAAATGGAGAGTAGCAAATGGTACCCAAAGTTTGTTTTGTGTTTCATTCTCTCTCTCTCTCTCTCTCTCTCTCTCTGTGTGTGTGTGTGTGTGTGTGTGTGTGTGTGTCTGACCTGTTCTTTAGCAGTAGGCCTCTCTAGGAATGATGACAGACTTACACAAACCTTTAGCCCCACAAATATTGACAAAGAAACCAGCTAGCATTTACCAAGTTTCATGTCCCATAGCGTAGATATTTTTACCTCACAGTAAGTTGTGGGTAAGAGTAATGGGTCCAACATTTCACAAGAAGACAACGACAGCCTCTAGCCAACTGCTGTGGCTCCGAGCTGACGGCGTTTTTCCCTTTCAAGCTGCTGCTTCAGCATCGTCTCCTGGAGCCCTTGGCAAGCTTTCAGGCCATGGGTCAGGGGAAGCCTTGCGCATATTACTATGACGGAAGCCAAGCGCTGGCCCACAAATATTGAGTATTACTTATACCCCAGGAGAGTTAGAGCAGACGCATGGGTATTGCACAGCTCAGGGTGCCTTGAAGAACACCACTGCTCATGCTATTCCTCAGCTGCCTGTGACACAGCCCTTTCCCAGTCCATGTGGAGTTTAGCCAGTAGTGTTTTCTTTCACTCCCTCCCCAAGTTAAGCAAGATTGGGGCAGTTAAATAAAAAGAGATTTCATATATTTTTTAAGTAGGGCCACAGCATATACGGCCCCCTAGGGGGCATTTTATTCATGAATGCAATGTGGGTTCTTGGTAAAGGACAGCATTAAACTGGCTCGCTGTTTTTGTCCAGCTAGCTGCAGATGACATTTAGGTGTGTTGTTTGGTGTGGTGACTCAGTTTCCTGTAGGATAGCTCCACATTGAGTCCCCCCACCCTGCCCAGGGGAGGAGGGAGGTAAAGGTCAGTTACTCAATGTCTCAGAACAGTTGGGGTTAAAATTCCTGAAAGTGAAGACTTAATAAGGACCCTGAAGAACTGGAGCTATTCACAGTGCCTCAGTCTAGAAGTCTGCAAGAAGTAAATTCTCAACTTAACCAATCTTTATTCCAGCGATGATTTTATTCTGTTGTATGTAAATTTTCTCTCACCAATGTGTGCAAATGTTGCAGGGCAATTCCATCCTTCGAATATAGAGACCATGTAGAAGATTTTGGAACTTTTGTATGTGATTTCTTATAGTCAAAATGGCAAAGCCAGGATTGGAAGACGCAATGGATCTTGTGGAATCAGTTGCTCCTCATGTCTCTCTACCATCCCCTTAAAAGCCAATCCCATGTCTAAGTGTCTTGAAGCATTAACTTGAAACTTTCCCTAATTACTGTACCATATTTTTTTTTTAAAATGAGGACTGTAATATAATACATGGAGCCATATTCTGCTGGGTCCAAAGTCTGAGTTCTACTTCTGACTGCAAGAAACTTTCCTGAAGATAGTAAAGGTGGAGTCAGGTACATGCTTACATCCTGGGAGTTCCCCCGGAACTCAGGCTTTGACATAATTGGCTGGCAGGAGGCAGAGATACAGAACATCAAGCCTAAAAGATATATAGAGGATGCCTGGCTTTGGATAACTGAAAAGAGGGCAGGGGCAGATTCTACACAATGGCCATGCCTCTAAACACACTGGATGTACAAACTATAAACAACTCATGTGACTGTACGTTAATCTCATCTTGCAATTTTCCCTACGCCTGGTTTACATAGTAGAGGGAGGAAAACAGCAATAGCGAAACTGGACTACCATGATGTCCGGACAACTCTCTACGCATACATAAAATGGACTCAGTATATTGAAATATTGAATTATTGTTTCAGCTCTTTAGGTGTGGGACTACAAAAGGCTTTCTATGTTTCTGTATCTTTGTTTGTTTTTTTTTTAAATAGGAAGCATGTACTATTTTATAGTTTTACAATTGGGAAAAACTAAATAGATGAAATATTTAATACTTTCCTTGTACAATTATCATTGAGGTTGTTTCCTTTGTTAAAGAAAAAAGGAATCAGCCTTAAATTTCAATTCACCTGGGCAAGATTTAGGCAGTTGTTGACTTAAGGTCTATTTACAGAGATTTGTGAATGTGGAAAATCGCAATAAAAGAGGCAAATTTTAATTCACAGCTCGCACAATGAAGAGCACACAGCTCAAAAAAAATCTTGGAAAAGGACAAGCCAAGAAGCAAGCCCAAACAACACTCTGAAAGTTACTGAAATTTTTATAAATTTAAGGGAAATCCTAGAGTCCTGAGACTCAACCCACGACATTCTTTGTCGTACCTGATAATTAATGGAGTATGCATTGGGACAGGATTTCTTTACCCCACAATACTGTAGATTAGAAGATAAAAAGTGGGACACCACTTCAGGTGAGGCCTTTCCTTTCTTCTGACCGCTTTGTAGGATAGATGGGGTTTCGACTTTTCTCCTTCTTCGGCTGTTCCATTTTGGAACTGATTAGTTTGGGGAGAGTGCCCAAGGTCCCTGGGTCAGCTTCTGTCAACAGAACCCATTCCCCCCACAGTGCTTCCGATAGTTTATTTCGTCCATGGTGTTCAGAAACAGACTTCCAGAATGTCTGTTTTGGGAGCTCCAAGGGCAGGGTGTTCTTGCGAATTCTGTAGAGGACGCACCCATACAGGGCGTGTGTAAAAGGTCATTGGCATTGCTGTTGCTTTAAAGTAAGGGACTCTTAGGTAATTCTGAAGGTGAACTGTAGACTGTTGTCAAGTTCTAAGGCATTCTGACCCTACAACAACATCACGCTTTGTCAGTTTGCGTTTCCACCAAATGGTAGAGGGGTTGGCCGGGTACTCATAGTCTCTACCCCAGTAGCAATGATTTTTATCCCTATAATCCTACCCCTCCAAGTAAGAAAACCCTAAACCCTGGGACATGAACCCGGAGAAAACTCCAGAGCCTAAACCCGCAGGAAGGGTAGTACCTGTTCTAAGTCACCTTGCGCCTAGGACTGCCAGGCCTGGCAGTCTGCGCTGGGTGGGCCAGAGGGCCAGGGACTCCGCCGTGCGCCCCGGGGTCCCTCCGGGGCAGGTGCGCGCTCGCACGCGCCTGCGCACCGGGTGCCGGCCGAGCCCCACCTGAGCCCCCCGGGGACCCCGGGCAGCAGGCGGGCGGGCGGGCGCTCCACGCCGGGTTTTCCGTCGCCCTGGTGCACGACAGCCCCACAGCCGCGCCGCACACCCGAGCGCGCGGCCGCGCCTCCCTCCCGGCCGCGCTTCAAAGCGGCGGCGCCGGCTGCCTCCGGGCGATGCCGCGGCGAGGTGGCGGGGAGGAGGGCGGCCTCCTGCAATTCGGAATCCTTTCGTAAGGAGTCGCGGGGGAGCCAGACAGCGCCCTCGGGGCCGCGAGGGGCGCGAGGGGGAGTGTTCCCGGAAAGCCAGCATGGAGCGGCGCTGCGCCCGCCCGCCCGCGGACTTGAGCGACAAAACAGGAAACGGCGGCGGCCGCGGCTGATTCATTCGCTTCGCGCGCGGGGCTCGGCGGGCGGCGGCGTGGAGCAGCGGCTGCGGGACGCGGACCCCCGTGGACCGCTCGCCCGCCACGGGGCCGCCTGCGGGGCGGGCTCCCCCTACCCACCCACCCGTCCATCCACCCATCCATCCATCCATCTATCCAACCATCCATCCACTCCTGAGCGCGCCACCAGGGGCAGCATCCGAGCGCAGGGAACCCCGAGCTCGGGCCGCCGCTGAGAAGCCGCCCGCGTACCCGTGCCAAAGTTGGCCCTGCAGCACTTTGCGCCCCTCCCTGGAGGCCGGACCCGCGACGTCAAGCTGGAGCATCCCGGCCAGCCGGAGCCCGGCCCAGCCAGTACAGCCTCAGCCCCCCGCGCGCCGCCGCCGGGCCCGGCAATATGAAGGAGCAGCCCTCATGTGCGGGCACCGGGCATCCGAGCATGGCGGGGTACGGCAGGATGGCCCCCCTTGAACTCGCTGGTGGCCCCGTGAAGCGCTTGAGAACTGAGTCCCCCTTTCCCTGTCTCTTCGCAGAGGAGGCCTACCAGAAACTGGCCAGCGAGACCCTGGAGGAACTGGACTGGTGTCTGGACCAGCTAGAGACCCTGCAGACCAGGCACTCCGTCAGTGAGATGGCCTCCAACAAGGTAAGCCCTGCTCTGGTTCCGGTGTCAGTGACGCTGCTAGACTGCTGATTCCCACGCTGGGGAATCACCGATCCCCGCGGCCTGGGGAAATACAGGGAGAAATTTGTCATGCTCACTGCAAGTTAGCTGCTGTGCTCCTTTGGAGGGAGGTTGCCGTTTGCATGCCTCCCTGTAGGAAGATCAAACATTCTACAAAAGCGACAGTGACCTAGTGTGAGCATTCTAGAACAAAGGTTTTTTTTTTTTTTTTTCGTGACATTTTGCCCTTGCAGCAGGAACCCAGCAGGGTCTGGTGGCGTCGCAAGTTATCAAAGGGATTGATGAGGAGTCCTGGTTGGAAATGGGAGTTGCAGGACTCCCGAGAAGGCGCTAAGACGCCACCGCCTACCTTGCTCCAACTCGGAAGAGTTCACTGAACTTGAAACCTCCACTCCCATGTCTCTGGTTCTAGGGGTACCTTGCCTTTAAGTATTGTTCCCTGTGTTCATTCACAGAGATAGGAACAAAGTTGGAAGGGTCCTCATGCTGCCTTTGTCTCTTTCAGTCTTGGAGACCAGGTCCAGGTTTCCGAGGTTGTTTAGCTACCGCTAGGCTTCAGCTGGGCATTTGTGCCATATGGGCCAAGGTGATGCTGGTCTTTGCAGTTAGTGGAGTAATGGGGGGGGTGGGGTGGCTGAGAAGTAACCTTTGGTGTCAGGCGAAGGCCTTAAAGGTATCCTAAGGAGGTAAGGTGGAGTACTTTCACGGTTGCATTTAAAAACAACTACAAAATCATGTGCTTTACGTCTTTGGCTCTGCGAAGGGACAATTGAGATTATGTGGTTTTTTTAACGAGTGGCTGGCCCTACGTATTTGATGCAAGCAGCTGAAAGAGTCAAGAAGGACATGTGGCGATTTGAAATAGTTGTCTCTTTAAGCTGTTTCTGTAGTTTGGGACACCTATGGACAAGGTCAGGGGGGTTATGGCATTTTACCCTCCGTATCTGCCTTTCCGTGACCGGATGCTTTCTTTTTCGTTCTGTTTGCTCAGTGCAGTTTCTTTCCCACCTGCTCTATTTCCTATGCAGATTTTATAAAAATGCCTGGTTTCCTGAATCTGTAACTCTCTCTGTACAGCTAGCGTTGTTAGAGTGAAAAGTTGGCCTTAAACTAAAGGGAATCCCCTAAAGAAGTATCATCCCAGCTACCCCCACCCATCTACCGGTCTGTACCAGACTGATGGGCAGATCAGCATCCCTTCTTCCTTTAATTTTTGTCACCTGGGCCTCATTTCTAAATCTGACTTGGCTCTTCATTTGAATGACCAGTGACTGCTTTCTTCCAGGGTCTGCTGCTCCCCGCAGCAGCAGCAAGTGCCCTTGTTCCCGTTTCACTAACAAACTGTTACTTTTATGAAATAAGAGTCATTTTTTTTATAACTTGCTTTTTAAGGCAGAAAACATGTGCCGAATATGTCCAGTGTCTTAAACACTGGGTGGGCCGTTCTCAATGGGCTTGAGTCTTCAATTCTCTTGTGTGTGTGCAGCAAAAGACAAATCAGAACCTGAAAGCCCCTTGCCAGATGCATGCATTTTGCCTGCCTTCTCAACATTGCTTGACCATACTTTTTCTGCGTCTGAGCAGCCGCTTGCCCTAAAATCCATACTTTTAATGTTGAAACCTGCATGTGAGTTTAATAATTGATGCGAGATCGAACAATATCGTGATTTTTCAACTGTGAAGTGGCTCATACCTGTGTCTTCAGCTGAAAACTTTACATCACGGTAATTGCTCCATACTCTCAGATTGTACAGGGTTTTGTCTTTTGAAAATCTTCGTCGCAGAAGGTTTGGGGACTTTGTGTGTTAACTGCTACAGGATCATATGGGAGGTGGGTTAACTGGGCTGATGTGAGATACACATAAACTGAGAGGATACTTTTCAGAATGCACTCACCTGTGCTCATGCCTTGTGGCGGCATATTTTACACCTACATTGTCTCAGTTAGCTAATGTTTGAATTTTTAGTGTGGAAGCAATTTGTTTCTTTGTAGATTCATTCATTTCTAAACCCTTGTTCCACTTGCATGGCCCTTCAGAGATGACAAAGTTAGCCTAGAAAGAAAAAAAAAAGAAAGAAAGAAAGCCCCTGGTGATAGTTGTAAACTCACCCTTCTGCTTAAACAAGGGCAGGAGTAAGCCACTTCCACCCGGCACTAAAGTGGGTCGGAACATATGGTCAGCTGAGGGCTGAGTGACAGCCTGCCTTCAGTTTGGACTGGCAATGTGAGCAGCTTCCTTGAGGCATCACCAGTCTGAGTGAATCACCCTGAGAAGTTGCTTTTGGGTTGATAAATTTATTGCCCTATATTCAGTCGCCGTATTTGGCTCATTCTCTGTTGCCTTCAGATATCAGGAAAGTTTTCTCCTCTGTGGAAGTTTTACAATACTTTTTTTGTTTTCCTAATATATTAAAAATCACAGTAATGTGCTAATAACAAGTTAAGATTTTAAAAATGGTAATGAACATGATTTTCTTTTTCTAATGGAAGTGGTTTGAGAGCTAGGAGGCGGGGAGCCGGGTCTTTAAGCCTGCTAGCAGATAATCCACATATTTAAAAGAACTCAATAAAAGAAATTTGAAATAATTAGTAGTTTTAAGGCGATGTCTGAGAGACGACATATTTTTCTGTATTGCTGTCACATGTGCATATGTGGTTGATGGCACTGGGGCAGGAATATGGTGGATTTCTTGACCGAGGCCAGAGCTCTGTGTGTGTAACACGTGTGGGATGCTTGTACGAGAGGGGGGGGGTAAGAGATTCCAGATGCCATTTAACTTGAGTGATTAAATCTACAGCATTTACCCACATAACGCACATTAACCTGCCTAAGATTTATACAGATTTCTCCCAGAACCTCATTGCTGCAATTGAGGGCAATTTTAGTAAGGCCTCAGTGCTTTGGAGGTGAACAGACCTGGTTACAGTTTATTCACATTGTCTCCCAGCTGTAGCTCCTCCCCAGGCCCCTCCCAATCCCACCCTCCCTCCCTCTTCTTCTCCCATGCCCCTCCCCCAGTCCGCTAATAGGGGAGGTCCTCCTCCCTTCCATCTGACCTTAGCCTATCATGTTTCATCAAGACTGTATTTCATAGTCTTCCTCTGTGGCCTGGTAAGGCTATCCCCCTCCTCAGGGTGAGGTGATCAAAGAGCCAGTCCCTGAGTTCATGTCGGAGACAGCCCCTGTTCCCCTTACTAGGGTACCCACTTGGAAACTGAGCTGCCATGGGCTACATCTGTGCAGGGATTCTAGGTTATCTCCATGCCTGGTCCTTGGTTGGAGTATCAATCTCAGAAAAGACCCCTGTGCCCAGATTTGTGGTTCTGTTGCTCTCCTTGTGGAGCTCCTGTCCCCTCCAGGCCTTTCTATCTCCCCCTTCTTTCATAAAGTTCCCTGCACTCTGCCCATATATATAACTTTTTAGCTTCAGTTTCTTTAGCATAATCTGGGCATAATAACTCTTTTGAAAGAGTAATGTAAGAGTTTGAAGTCAATTTTTTCTTGCCTCAAATATTTTCTTTTGTTAGTTTACTGCCCAAGAGTAATGTTTATAGAAATTTTACATGTCATAAATTTTTTGTAATAACTTTTATCTATAGATGATAAAGAGATAACTAGAACATTTGGAAGTTCTGAGAAGAAGTGCAGGCTTTTCTTAAATTCATGTTTAGAATTCTAGATAGGACAATTTCTGGTGCTTTTCTGTTCTATGGGAACTGGAAACATTGGCCTTGCCAGTATTCAGGACATGTATAATGTTGTATGCCTTTGGGGGCACTCTGTTTTCCTTAAAATACAGACTCTGCAAAGCTAAAATGTTTTCGAAATAAAATACTTTAAAATGCAGAATACTTTGATAATGCACAAACACATGTAAAGAGGTAAGTTAAGGATGGGAGGGTGTCTGCAGGAGGGCCTTCAAGGCTCTCAGAGACATCTCTTTAAACCCTGTAACAACCCTTCTGACCTAATAATGCACATTTTGCTAGGTCTACCATGAAAGTGCAGTGGTGTTTGTAGGAGAAAGATAAAATCGCTTTGAAATCACCATAAAGCCTATCAACCTAGAAGTGTTACTTGTCTCTGCTCTCAAATTTTGGGGGCCATTTGGCAGTTCAGCCCTGCTGGAAAGCCCTGGGCTTCAAGCTGAAGGTCCCTCTTGAAGTTTGGATTCGAGTATCCTTTGAAGAGGCTTAAGGTTTTTCTGTGGTTCATTTCCAAGGCACTCGCACTGGCTCTGCACGCACGGTTATGACTTCTTTGTGAATCTCCGTTTGTCTCTTTGGTCCATTGCTGGCTTGTTTTTCTGCTTTGCATACAAACTAAGCTGCTCTTTTGGAGCAGGTTTTTCTCAGAGATTTTCCCACTGGCTCCCCCTGCTGCATAGCATAGGCCAGCACTTGCTGTGGCTGCTGATAACGGTTTTCTTCCGGCCAGGAGGCTTGCAGGAAGGAAGATGGGATGTTCGCAGCTGTGGCTGAGGCTTAAGATATTCCAGCCCCACACACAAGTATAAGATAACTCAGAAGGACTGAAATTCCATTAAGAAGGAAGCTAACTTAGCTGGAAAAGGCATTTTAATTTATGAAGTCAAAATGGTGACAGTTTAAAAATCTTCAAATGTTAAAATGTAGAAAAGAGGATTGTTAAGAGTTTGTGTGTATGCCTAAATAAATATATACATTTTAATAGAAAAGCCCTTCTCTAGCTATAGAAACTGGGAACTTTGATATTTTGAGTTTGGTGTCTTATTCTCCACAAAGGTGGATTTGGTAAAGCTTCTTTTATAGTTTGCATCTAGATCCTCAAAGTGAGCATATAAGATTTGGAGCCCTTGTTTATATCATGACAATTAGAAAAAAAAGCTCCCTGTGCTGTTAAGTAGGAATAGGAAAAAGAAACACTTGTTTAAAATGCTTTCAAGTTTGGACACACACGTGTGTGTGTGTCTCTCTGTAT